CCATCATCTCACACTGATGCTGATGATCGTGATGCAGTCTATCAGAACGCAGTTATATGAGCTGATAATTCAAGGTGTGTATAAAAAATAAAAAAAAATAAAAAATTCACCCTCTTATATTCATATCATATGATGTAGTTTAGCAATATCACACCAGCAAGAGTGATCATGTAAACGATCAATCAGTGATTCAACCACAGTCATGAAGACATTTAATGGCCATAAATCTGATGGTTAACTACAAAAAATAACTCATTTGATAAATATGTGCATTGTGTTACATATCTATTATATTTTTACTTCACCTGTTAGTGACGTCTAAATTACTGAATAAATCTGCCATCATGAAAGTGCATTATTACAGCCAGTTTAAATTTTCATATTTCAACAGCAAATCTGTGTATAAACTATTTATAATTACATTATTAAAGTTGATATAAACTATTTTATTTGTTGATTATTAAATCTTATAAACTTCGGTATATTGCATATTCATATTTTTACTATATTATTTAAAGTATACTTGAAAAAATTTGTCATGAAAACAAGTTTTTAATACAATCACCTTTTGAATGTTTATATTTCAACGACGACTTGAAGTAGAAACATAATTAGATAAAATCATGCAATTTACTTTTTTTTTTTTTCATACAGTCAAACCAAAATGTATTCAGACACTTCAGCATTTCTCACATTATATCACAGTTTATTGGCTATAGTTTAGAAAATGGTAATAAAATATGAGAAGAGCTCAGAGTTAAACTGTGTCAGAACAAACTCATCTTGATAATATCAGATAACTTTGATAGAAAGCTATGTAATGAATTCTGTTGAATAGCTGTCAGCTGTTACATTTAATACACAATTAGATAAAACCAATTTAGCTCAACTAATTACCAAGCAGTGCTTCATTTAGTTCAGTCTGTGGAGTAAAAAGATCACATTAGCAATTAAAGAAAAACACTTCAGCAAAACATGCTCGGCTCAAAGTGTCTGAATCATTTTTGATCCGGTAGTCCACTGTATGAAGAATTTTTGGGTATAATATGTCACAGTTTACTTTATTTTGCTCTCCTCACTTACATAAATGAACTACAGTGTCCTGCACACACTAGTAAAAAATATCAAAAATTAATCTGGTGTCTGAATAATTTTTGGTTTGACTGCAACTTAGATTTGGGTGTTTATTTGAGAGCTGATTCTTAATTGATTGATTAAACAAACTTTGGCTTAATGAAATCTTTCCGTTGTTTTGGTGAAGATCTAATCTCAGTGCATCACTGTGCTCACCTTTGACGTCGGGGTCATCGGTGTGCGGCTCCAGGTTCTCGATGAGCTCCTGCAGCTGTGTTCTGCCCAGCGCCGGGGCCAAGGGCCGCCTGTCCTCCTCCTGCAGCAGCTCCAGCTGGATCTGAGGGATGGGGGTCCTCCAGTAGTGGAAGGAGTTGAAGAGCTCCTGCTCCGGGATCTCCTGCGCTGGAGGATGGGATGAAGGCTGCGTCTCCTCAGGAAGGCACTTCTCGGCCGTCTGCTCTCCTCCGCCCTCCTCTTCCTCACAGGAGTCCCGCGGCGGACAGACCGCGTCTGTGTTTGTGCTGCAGAGTCAAACAGACGAGCGAGACATGTTCGTTAGCAGGGCCGCTGCTGGACAAATGTGTTGTTGTGCCCTCACTCAAATATTACGGAAGTAAAAAAGCACCTGCTATAGGGGATCTAGAACTTTAACCTGTTAACTGTCGGTTCCACTTTTTGAGCATAAACCTGAAAATGACATTTCCAACTTAAACCGTAATGAATTTGGAATGCTTTGAACCACAGACTTAAGGTTCGTCTCTATTTAAAGAAGACACTTGGCAGATTATTGTAGAAGTGAAAAAAGTTATAAAGATTATATTACAAAAAAGTTATGGAAGTTTAAGTTTATGAAAATATAAAATGTAATAATTTAAATATTTATATTTTATATAAAATATATATTTTACAAAATGTGTTTTACTCTAAAACTGCTAGAAAATTAAAAAACAAGTTGTGTTCCAAATTTGAGGTTGGTATCTCAAAAAATGAGCTTTCAGTGAGATTTTGTTTGGACGCAGTACCAAGCTTTTCCACTAGATGGCCATCAAACCCCATTAGAAACCATTTAAGGGCGCCTTCATTTCCATATACGGTTTGAGTGATCTAAAACATGTTTTTCCATACTTTTCTCAATATTTATGAAGTAGACATCACATTCAGAAGTATTAAGGACAGTATTTGATTTCATTATATAAAATATATATTTTACAAAATGTGTTTTACTCTAAAACTGCTAGAAAATTAAAAAACAAGTTGTGTTCCAAATTTGAGGTTGGTATCTCAAAAAATGAGCTTTCAGTGAGATTTTGTTTGGACGCAGTACCAAGCTTTTCCACTAGATGGCCATCAAACCCCATTAGAAACCATTTAAGGGCGCCTTCATTTCCATATACGGTTTGAGTGATCTAAAACATGTTTTTCCATACTTTTCTCAATATTTATGAAGTAGACATCACATTCAGAAGTATTTGATTTCAATTCAACCTCAAAAAAACACATAAAAGACATGCTACGAGAACCCTGGACTTGCGTTATAGTTCACGATGCATCAAAAATTGAGAATCTATTGTTTTTTCTATATATTCAAAACCCTTTTAGACCTTTTTTTCTCAAAAAATAGACTGGATGTTATCTTTTGAACACTCACTATGAAAATGAATGGAGGTTTTTCATGAATTCATATGTGCATCGCTATTTCAAAGAAAAGGTCAGAACGCACTCTCTGACTCTGATGAGTACTCTTCTAGCATTATTAATTAATTACAGTTGCTCTGTGAAATATTTCGAAAAACTGTCACCAAATATCAAAACTACAGGCTCACTGGTGACCTATTTTGATCTAAAAAAAGTGAGTTGTCACTGAAAGCTGAGGAGTTTGCATCTATGGCTATGATTTTATGAATACAGTTGTCTGACTGATTTTATAGTCTCAAGCGTTCAGAAATCACACAAAAGAAAACTAAGCAGTTTTACTACGATAAAACCATGGTTGATTTTAGTGAGGGTTGTGATGTCCATGTGTTTTTGTTGAAGAAATCATAGAGGCTGCAGCATTTCTATCGCAAAAAGGTGGCCAAAAATGACAGTGGATATTTGAATTAAATGTTTGGTGAATATTAAACAAGCAGTTACCAGGCCTTTGGCGCCCTTTACAAGCATTTGTAATAATATGTAACGTACATAAATTGTTTCTTTTGTAATATTGTCCTATCCTAACAAACCATACATCAATGGAAAGGTGATTTATTCAACAAAATTGACCCTTATGACTGGTTTTGTGCTCTAAAGTCACATATGTGCTTTATAATACTAATAAACAGCTAATATGTTAACAATAGTCATCATAATGAGCAACTAATTAATAGTGAGAATTGGTCCTTATTCTAAAGTGTTACCATTTTAATATAGAATGGACGTTTTTTTGTTTTTAACGACTGTGATGGTGCCCTAAGCAAACTGTGTGCTAAAGGGAATAATGTTCGTTGCTCTGAGCTCGTCGCCGTCTCACCTGTGTGTCTGTGATCCGCTCCACTCGGCCACGGCCTCGGCTCTGAAGCACTGACCCGTGTTACTGCTGGAGCTGGCGAAGGTGGAGATGAACGGACCGAGTGACTGAAACGCAGCCTGACGCACCTGTGAGCACAGCACACCTCAGTAACATCCGCTCTACACCAATCCAGCGGAGCGCGAATCACAGCATCAGCTCAGAAGCTAATTACATCATTAAAGTGGAACTTCAAAAATCAAAACAAAACTTAAGACAAATAATAAAATGGAATTTGCTAAAAAGATTTCAAAAGGGACCTAAAAATTTTTATTTGTTAAACTTTTGTTACATTGTTGTTGAGTTGTACAAGTTTCAGGGTTTCAATTAATTAGACAAGATTAATTTAACCACTAAAATGTAAACAAAAAAATGCAAACAGAAAACATGGAAGTTGGCAAAAATAAAATAGGAAAAATAAGTAAAACAGATTTAAAATATAATTTTTTAAATCTAAGATTAGATCAAAAACCCAACATTTGATCAAAATCAAGTTTAGATTTTTGTTAAACTGTATACATTTCATGATTTAAATTAATTTGATATACTTTCTGATTAAAATTGTGTCCCTGCAGCACAAAAGCAGTGTTAAGTCGCTGGGGTATATTTGTAGCAATAGCCAACAATACATTGTATGGGTCAAAATTATAGATTTCTCTTTTATGCCAAAAATCATTAGGATATTAAGTAAAGATCATGTTCCATGAAGATATTTTGTAAATGTTCTACCGTAAATATATCAAAACTTAATGTTTGATTAGTAATATGCATTGCTAAGAACTTCATTTGGACAACTTTAAAGATGATTTTCTCAATATTTAGATTTTTTTGCACCCTCAAGATTCCAGATTTTCAAATATTGTTGTATCCTAACAAACCACACATCAATGGAAAGATTATTTATTCAGCTTTCAGATGATGTATAAATCTCAATTTCACAAAATTGACCCTCATGACTGGTTTTGTGCTCCAGGGTCACACATGTCATCCAGAAAAGTTAAATGGAAAAAAGTAATGCAGAGTAATGTGTGGGAAATAAAGCAAGAAGGTGTGTTTGATGACGTACCCAGCGCGACGGGTCGCTGATCAGACTGATGAACAGAGACGAGAGTTTGCTGCGCCGCACTTCTGGAGACGAGGCCGAGGAGACGGTCATGAAGCACTCGGCGCAGGCCTTCCTCACACCCCACACGTTATCAGAGCACAGCTGGAAGAACCGCGGCAGCTGACCGGAAACCACAGGAACACATCAACAACCACACAAGCACATTCCAACCCTGCTCACCACGGAGGACACCGGGGCTAGTTGTCATGCTGTTTACCCCAGTGCATGTGTCTCACTGTTTCTATACACACACAAACTATAAACTATTCCCAGTGTTTCATGCTCAAATGCAAAGCCCGAAATTGACAGTTATTTAAGACGGTCGTATTGCTTTTAGATGTCTCTTTTTTTAAATATACATAAATGTCAAATTTTTAGTTTTAACATACATTTTCATAACAGTCTTGAGATATTTTCATTATCTCCATCACTGACTTAAAACCATTTTTAGCTGCTGGAAATACTAGTGTTCTGATCATTTTGGCCACTACTGTACATATCAAAAAAATATTGCAAATTAAAATCTTCCTTAAAGCGCCGCTAGAGAAAACATGCATTTGTTTGTCTTTAAACCTCAGTTACAGACATCTAACCCGCGTGACAACTTGCCCCGCGCCCGCCGGTGCTGATCATACCAGCAGCTCCTCCGTCGCCTCTCCTCCGACCACACTGCAGATGTCTCCGAAGTTCGCCGCACAAACCTGTCGGACACAAACACACGTCTGATGAGTGATGAGGACCGAACACGAGCACGAGCCAATCAGATTCAGCCGTCATCCTCCTGAGCCAATCAGATTGACGCACCTTGCGCACGTGGAACATCCTGCAGTCGCAGCACATCTCGCAGAAGCGCGGCAGAAAGAGCCGCTCGGTGACGTCCTTCCCCACCATCGGAGCCATTTTACAGATAATCTGAGATTAAAAAGATCATAAACAAACACTCACAGTCCGGCCTGCTGCTTTATAACTACAGAATCATCTCAAGACCCCATGAGAGTGTTTTTCTCTCTAGCATTATTTTATAAAAACAGTCAGAACTTAAAGGGGTGGTTCATTGCGATTTCACGGTGGTTTAACGTTAGTTAGTGTGTAATGTTGCCGTTTGAACATAAACAATATCTGCAAAGTTACGAAGCTGAAAGTTCAATGCAAACGGAGATATCGTCTTTTAACATTATGGCAGTTTAATGCCTACAAAAACAGCTGGTAGGGACTACAACGAGCTACTTCCCGGGTTCGTGACGCGTTGTTTACAATACAACCGGAGCACATGCCGCTGAGGTGAGGGGTGGGACGTTTAGACGCGCACTAGAGGCGGTTTAGCCAATCACAACACACTGGGCTAGCTAACCAATCAGAGCCCATCGCCTATTTCTGAGGGCGGGGCTTCATAAAAGCAGGAGATGATCAGCGTGGAATAAAGGTAAATTATGTGAAAAATAATGCGTTTAAGTATGAGACAACAACAAACAAAAAACATAGGCCTACCATTAAAAGCTGTGCTTGCACAGGTTCTGCATGATCCTCTTCAATAATATCCTCTGCTTCTCAATCGGGCTCAAACTGATAAGATATTAATGACGCCGTTGTTTACAATACAACCGGAGCACATGGCGCTGAGGTGAGGGGTGGGACGTTTAGACGCGCACTAGAGGCGGTTTAGCCAATCACAACACACTGGGCTAGCTAACCAATCAGAGCCCATCGCCTATTTCTGAGGGCGGGGCTTCATAAAAGCAGGAGATGATCAGCGTGGAATAAAGGTAAATTATGTGAAAAATAATGCGTTTTTTTTTTTTTTAAACGAAGCATTAACACATGTTAGACTGCACCCCATAAACACAATCAAGCCTAGAAAACAACCTCTGAACCACCCCTTTAATATTTTTCAACTAAAACCACATTTTATCTGATCAGCAACTTCTCATTAATGAGTGAATGTGAAATGTTTTTAATGTTACCATGTTATTGCTGCATTTACCCATTTTTTATTAATTAAAAAATTTAGAAATTCTTAGACATTTTAAATCACCCACGAACCACACCAAAAAAAACATGAAATTTATAAGAACATATAAACTGAGAATTATCAGTATTAACCTCATTGGAATGAACTGAATAATTAAATTCCTTTTAATTTATAACTTACGATTACTCAAAAACATACACTGCCAGTCAACAGTTTTTGAACAGTAAGATTTTTATGTTTTTTTAAAGAAGCCTCTTCTGCTCACCAAGCCTGCATTTATTTGATCCAAAGTACAGCAAAAGCAGTAATAATGTGAAATATTACAGTTTAAAGCAGCTGTTTTCTGTGTGAATCTCTGTTAAACTGTAATTTATTTCTGTGATGCGCAGCTGTATTTTCAGCATCATTACTCCAGTCTTCAGTGTCACATCCTTCAAAAATCATTCTAATATGCTGATTTGCTGCTCAAGAAACATTTCTGATTATTATCAATGTTGAAAACAGTTGAGTGCATTTTTTCAGGATTCTTTGATGAATAGAAACTTTAAAAGAACAGCACTGATTTGAAGTTAATAAATGAAGTAATTAAAGTATTACTTTTTTCTATTTGTCCCTAATATATATTTATTTAGTTTTATAATTACTTAAAAAAAAAAAAATCAAATTGATATTTCATAAAATTTTAATATTTTTCCCAGGTGAAACATTCTCGCTCTCTTTTTTTGTACATTAAATGTATTTTTGAGTAAAAACGTTTCCTAGCATCATTTAATAAAATACACTTCAAAGACTTACAAAAAAAAAAAA